GGGGGGTGATGCTTTGATGCTTTTGGAGCGGGTGGTGACGCACTCGCCAACTATACCCTTGAATAGGAACTCGAACAGCTCAAATCCAGAAGATTCTGAAAATGGCCTGGCTCCCTATATGAACCCTGGGAAGACTGGGAAGCGAAGAGGTGGAAACAGCTGGGAGGTCTTGAACTTTTAAGTAAACAAAAGGCCACATTCAAGCAGCAGAAGGACAATGTGCATCCTCTGCTCTCGCTTCGCAGACCTTCATTTTGAAGGTGGCCTGAACAGAGTGTTTTAGGGCAGCAAACCCTGGTCTCAGGCCACCTTGAATTTAGCTTGAAAAACTGGCTGTTTTAACAAAAGCCTTGTCAGAGAGGCACCTCAGGACCCTTGCTTCGCATATCTTCATTTCTGAGGTGGCCTGAACATATAGTTTCGGGCAGCGAGCCTCTGGTCCCAGGCCACCTCGAATTTTGGTGCATTGTTTGGCTTTTGCTTCATCTGAATGTGGATGGCAATTATCTATGTGTGAAGTCGGTCGGGGGTCGGGGGGGGGTGGCCCGAGAAAGGTATACGTAAACTCTTGGAGGTGATGTTTTAGTGATTTTGGAGCGGGTGGTGATGCAAGAGTGCATTTTTTGCTTTTGCATGGTTACCTATGTGTGGGCAGAACAAGACATGAAGCAGATTTGACACGCGGCCGCAAGCGGCTGCGCGAGCCCATTTGATTGCTTCGACGCGCGGTTGTCGAGAAAGGGAAGCGCTGGTTTTCGTTTTGCAGCTTCTCAGGTCTTTGGTGTCGCTTGGTGTGGACCGTCCTCTTTGATCGCCCTACGGAATTGACCAGCCCAACGCGGATTCAAATTCAAGTTCGCTTTCCGCATTGTCAGGAGCCTTCCGAGTTCTCATCCGTTCACGATCTGTAGTGCTGAATCTGGTTCCCAACCCTCAGGATGTGCGAAGACATCCATTTGAATTGTTATTGTCAAGGGTTAATTGGCGCACCATCTGCAAAGACACAGCAGACACGCTTCGTTAGGATGTTCGAGGTGGTGCACTGTGCCACCATTTTCGCATGATCGAACGCCAACCAACCCCTTATGTCCAACACCATCCCCACCAGCCAACGCTCATTCCAGGCAAGTGGATTTGCGGGTCACGCTCATCTCACCCGAGAGGCGAGTGGGGTACATGTACACGCTGTGGCCAAGGGACCAAGTGGCTGCAGGAATGTGAAGAAGTAAGTGGACCAACCCAAAGAAGGGGATGATTGCAGGGTCGGTTTCAAAAGCCTCGAATGTTTGTTGCAGATGGGATCATCGTGGCGATGCTAGTGATGCCAACAGACTGCCCTGGCATGAGTTGCTTCGAGGAGAAGAGAATTCGGAATTAATGCAACGGTTTTTGTTGGCGTTTGTCCAATACTTCAAAAGACTAGATCAGAAGTCTTTTCTTCTCCCTATCAATGAAATATGGTATTTTGTTCATTTATCATCAGGGGTGTCCCGGACACAGCTTAGCTTTAAACCGTTTTCTTTTCCGTTTGAGAGAGTGCCCTGTTTTGATCATCCCATGGGGTTGGAAGAGGACTCTAGTTTCGGAGTAGAACGGTTGGAGCATGTTCCCTTCGCTTTGAGTGAAAAAAAACACCTCTTTCTCAGCCCACTTGCGTTCTACGAACGCAACCGTCGATCTTACGGCCCCCCGTCTCAACCCAAAAAGCAAGTCATGGAAGGCTCAACACCACCAAAGTCTTTGATTTCGAGCAGGACCCCGTGTGGACGGACCCGATGTTTGCGCCCGGCACGGGAACACCTGGGGGCACAGGGCACATGGCAGCTCGTATGTGTGCAGGTGGCAGCTGCGTTTAAACGTTCTTAAGGAAGGAGGCGGAACGTCAGCTGACCCAGGTGTTGTTTTTTGACCTAACAGCCCCAACGACTCGTGATCAGGGACCAGGACCATAACATACGGGTTTTGGGTTTTGGGTTTAGGGTTGTCATGAATGGATTGAATTCAAGCACCTCTCAGCCAGCAGTATTTTTTCTTTTTCTTTCCATGAATTTTGGGATGTATTCATGCCTTTGATGGGATCTTGGGGTGAACCACACTGAAGCTTTGACAAGTGAAAAATGGTTCCCCATCCGATTTCGGGTGAGTACATCGAGTTGTCGACTCCCGTACCATGGAAGATGCCGTGGCCCCGCCACGCTTTTGATGCCGGAAAGAAACGCCCGACCGGTTGGAGACCTTTGGAGATCCGTAGCCGTCGCCTTTCCGTCTCCCCCTATGTTCTTCAGGAGACCAATGGCTCGGTGAAGTTCCGCCCAGCCGAGCCCGTGGAGGTCGGGCAGCGCGACCGCCGTGCCACGCGCAGCGCGCGCACTCGTGCAAAGCGCATCGGCCGTGCAATGTGAATGGTTGGAGTCGCGAGGTCCTTGGCCTCGATTTGGGCAATGCAATTGTTGTTTGTGTTGTGTGTCTTTTTGTGAAGGATTTTGATGTTGACTGATTGCAACGTTCTTTCTTTGGTTGTATTTTGATTCGCAAACAGATGAACAACTCCCAGGACATCATGGCCTAAGTATAGGTCCCTTTATCACCAACAAGAATCTCCATGCATGTGGGGTTTGTTTGAGCAGCACGCAAAGCGCCGCCAAAAAAAACAACGAAAGCTGTGACTGTTGAGAGTCTCCGTGGCAAAAGCATGCGCTCAGTCGATGCTTCTACCCACCCAAGTTGGTTTTTGTACTGCAGAGCAGAGCTATTCCAAACTGAGGAATGAAGAAATCAACCCAGACACGTGTAAGCCAAACCAAGCTTGGCTTAGAATCAGACACTCACTCCGACAGCCAGTCGTCCAACAAGGGACTTCTGAACAGAGCAGGTTGCATCAGCTAGAGATTCTCTATTTTGAAGATTCTATGCATGCCGGGTGGTTTCGGAAAACTTACATCATCAACGCCATCTGAAGGGAGGCAGTTCTACAAATCACCTACCAAGCCAGCACATTTGTGACCAGAACCTGCCACATCAAAAACGCGCGCGCTTGTGTTTGTTTGTTTGTTTGCTTGTTTGTTTGTTTGTTTGTTTGTTTGTTTGTGTGTGTGTGTTTGTTTGTTGGTTTGTTTGTGTGTGTGCGTTTGTTTGTTTGTTTGTTTTGTTTGTTTTGTTTGTTTTGTTTTATATAGTTTGTTAGTCTGTTAGTTTGGGTTGGTTTGTTTTCTTTCTTGTTTGGTTTGGTCTGGTTGTTTGTTTGTGGGTGGGAACAGGGAGACCCCAGGAAAAAAAGAACTGTCCAACTATAGTGGTGTTCTTTTAGACGTGTTCAGCTGGTTTTGAGCTGTGTCCTCGACCAGGATCCCCCATGATGTTCCTCTTTGCCTTCCCACAAATATCTCCCGGCCGCGTCGATCCATCTCCAACGGCGACGCGCCCGCTGTCGCGCGCTGTCGGTGCTGTGCTTGCTTTCCTCTCGAGGTGGAGCTCGAAGTGGTGAAGACACTCCGCCTCGAGGCGAGTCTTAAAGGATTCAATAAAATCCCATCAGAGTTGGTTGCCAGGTTGCTGGCGGTTCCAAGGTATGATAGATCATGATAGATCTAATTATATATATAGAGAGAGATGATGGTTTGGTTGCTTAAATTTGATCGTCTAATATCGGGGGTTCTGCCATGTACTGTGAACCCACTTATAATATTATACGAGTACTATCTTGTACTGTTTGGAAAGAATTGGTTTCCTCCCTCCCCGTATACGAATTGGCTCATTGGATTTAGTGGGCAAAGACATTGGATCGTGGCGAGAGGTCCAAATTGCACTCGGCGGAGCACCGGACTCAAACAGACTCCTCAAGGTTCCCTCGGCAATGACCTATAGGGCAAGTTTTACGGTGGCAGGTGACAGGTCTTAGACTCTTAGGATACACGTGGACACTGGTCCCCAAGTGGCACTGTGCTCATTCAATTGTTGGTTGTACAATTTCCACTGCTGATGCTCGGTGGTTTGATCAAGCAGAAAGTCAGCGGTCATGATGACCTAAGGAGCCCTGCTAAGCTAGGAAGATGGTGTTCCGGTGTTCGTCTGCGGAACTCTCACGAGGGTGTTCATTTGGTTCACACGTTTTGCGAGCACCTTAAACCACCCAGTCAGGAATGACTCTAATCTTGGACCTGGCAAGACATGAACCTAACAGAAGCAAACTGACGAAGGATATTCAAGATCATCATTCCATCGTCAAGCAAATCCATCCAGAACAGAACAGGTGTGAGCTGTGTGTTAGCTTGTGATGTTGTTCCTTTCTTTACCCCCAAAAGTGCTTTTGTTGGCAGAACACGGCTCAGCTCCTCACCTCAGTGGCGTAGCGTACCGCAGGTTTGGGACGTGGCGCTGCGGCGAATCATTGCCGTGGCAGAGATGGAGACCAAGGTGGAAACGGGGCGATGGGAAGCACCGCGGACGTTGGATGATCACCGTGAAACAAACAAAGACTTAGGGTTTGAAACCCACGGGAGGCGCTTGGACTTGGAGTGGTATAGGGAGGCACATTCAAAAGCGTCCCAACGGCGTTGGACCCCGTTGATGTTGATGTCGACGGACAAGCTCGCATGGAGATGTCACGGAACAGGATGACCAAGATGAACACGCATCTGTTGTTGGCACAGTTCGGACTGGTTGCTGACATGGCATTCCCTCCAAAAAATTTCACCTGGATCTTCCAAACTACCAAACATGTCTGGTCGTTTAGGTATTAATTCATATATGGTCGTTCATGTCTCATAACAGTTTCAACTTGGCCTGCTGATCCCGCGACGGCATCGTTGTGATGATCTCATCAACTGAGACAGGTCTGACCGAATTGCCCTTTTGCACGTCCCACGAACATGACCATCCAAGAAACGTTAGGAGGATAGAAATGCCTCAGGTGATGTCACCCATTTGCTTCGCCCAGGACTTGGAGAAGAGGAGGCACTGGCGCCTGCTGTTACAAGATCCTCTGACCTCTGAGGCCGGTTGCATGAGTTTCTCATGGCTTTCAAGGTACCCTACACCAGCTCACAAAAAAAAGAACCTTCAACGTGATCTCATTCATTTGAAAGGTCTCGAGCTGAAGGTACTGGAAAAAGGGGTCATAGAATACCGTAATTTCAGTTCATTCACCAGGAAACATGAGGGCAACACGCCCAAAACGCCCATGCGCAGCATGCAGAACTTGTTGACACGATATCTATCTCGTTTTGGGCGGATCTTACCCCCCAAAAGCCATCCAATACAGATGTTCTCCGAGGGCTCCTATTTCTCGCGGCGAGCTCTTCTAGTTCTCGCGGCGCGTCGGCAAAAAGCCATCCACGTCGAGGCGGTCTATGGAACTGCTCCTCGAGGGCCAGATTCCTTGGACAGGACCTTGAGGCCTTTGAACAGGAGGCGCAGCCAGCGTGTGGCGTGGCGACGTTTTCTCCCATCGCCGATCTCCAACATATCGGGATTAGGCGATTGGTCTTCAAATTGGACAAATGGGTACAAACTGCTCAGGAGGGGGTGAACATCTAGCAGCGATTTGGGGCGTGAAGCTGGATTGCATCATGTGAACATATACTCAAAAGTAAGCTGCAATCATTTGGGCAGCTATTCCCCAGACGTTGGCGCTAGCCGCTAGCGCAAAATTGGAAATGCAGTGGTTGAACATCGGCCAAACAGACCAACCTCTCTCGCTCCTCCCGGTTTGATTGGAGCTGGCCCTTGGAACACGTGTGCTCTTAGATTCCCTTGCTGTGACAGGGGGCAACTTCTTTCCCCTCAAGCCGGGATTTCCAGTGTCGACCAGCGAACCGTGCGGATACTTTGCGTTCGAACCATGCGCTTGTTTCACTGTTTGAGGCCGAGCTTCCTTCATCTCCTCATCCAGGCGCAGCGCTCCACTGCGGTTTTTGGGAACATGCTCTCACCCGTCGAGATCGGGGAAAACGACTGAAGAGTGCAGGATGTCCAAAGAAGCACTGATGAAGTAAGCCAATTTTCACGATGTGTAGAAGCAATGAAGATATCACTTTACTCCCACTAAAGATGTATAGAGAGAGCTCCCCCAAGACTTATTGGATAGGAAGGTACATGCTGTTCGCACATGATTTGGACCTTTTAAGATCTTTTAAGTGTGTTCTAACATGTTCTAACCATGAAGGACATATATGATATCCATCTAAATATATACCGAGGCTTCCAACAACCATGAATTTAAGTAGCTTTACCGAATCAACTAAGGATTTTTACACTACAAAAAGCAGGTCAACCATTCTTTTAATGGTCTTGGAAGTCTAGGGTATATATAGATACCTATGGTCTGAGTCCATACTACACTGGAGATGATGTGCTTTCGGCCGCTTTGTGATTGCTGAGGTTTCGGAACCTGGATCCTTTGTGCAAGAGGCGAAATCGTTCGCGCAGGGCTCAATCGATCGCACGTGGCACTGAGTGGGGAACTGGTCGCACTGCCGGGCTCGTGTACTCTTGCTGATGGCGGGAATGTGTTAATAAAAGCTCTGCCGGAGGCAATGGGATTCATTGTGCCAGTTGAATAGTTTAAATCTGTTTATATCAATATTATATCATTTCATATCAGATCAGTGTGATTAACCGTCTATATACACTATAGATTGTAATTCCATGAGAATCGAGAGACGTCCATAGACAAGATGGGGTGATTTGTCGTTGTGAACATCCTACATCACACTCTTAAGACTCCAAACTTACAGCATGTTGGGCAAACTGATTGTCGAAACTGGCACCACCACTATAATATGATAGTTATCCGTTTTGCCCAAATTTGCTGATCACCATGCGTGTTGATTCACTTTCACAGCATCACTGAAGGTACCTACCATGCGAGACGTCTAATGATTCATATAGGCCATAGCCAGGGAAAAGAATTTAAAAGGAGAAAACAACAACAAAACATGGTTTTCTTTAAACAAAAAGACACACCAAACAGTTTTTCAGTTCCATGTTCCATGAAGTTCCATGTCGGACGACCCGTCGGACACGGACGACCCGTCGGACACGGTCGACCCGTCTCAGACACCTTCCAGCGCCTCGACGCCCTCCACGGCAAGCCGCTCAGAGGCGAACTTGACGACATCCGTGGGATAAGAAGTATTCTTTAAAAATCGAAAAGACATATACTATCATATACTTCTGTATAAGAAGTATGTAGTAAATAACTCTCATCCCAGTACTTTTTTTTATGTCCTAACTCTTCTGGGATAAGAAGTATGTGTCAGATAGCTGCGGGTCATAGCACCAGAATACTGACCAGTTGGCCTACCTGGTGGACTAGTCGTTCGCGGCAAAAGGTGGACTGGTCGGGCTCCAGGTTTTGACTCATCCATATAAGGTATGCAATATATAGGAATTTATATAAACCTCCCAGGCCTGAAGAGAGTTTACAACCCATGTCCAGCAAACCGGTAACAGCTGGCAAAAGATGATCATTCTTTTGAGAAGGGCCTGCAACCTAACCATCATCATCCACTGTTACTGGTAAGGATGTATGACATATGACATACCCAAGTTTAATAGGCTGTATGATGTGATCGGGAAGATAGAATAGTTCGATAGCTGGAATAGGTTGATACATGTATCTAGTTTTGTCGAGCAGAATCCTCATATATTGGCCTATTAAGCTTCCGGATGCTACTTTGAACCAAGTTTTGGGTGACTTTGAACAATTTTTGTTTGAAGTCTCCAAGCAATGTTGGAATCCAGATTTGCCAGCCTATCAAAGGGAAATCATTAGCACCATCAGCATCCCGGAAGTGGATCAAACGGAAATCATCCAAAGTCCCTCAAAAGCATACTGTTTTGCCCCCAAGATGCCCCTTTGGTCCGCTGCTCCGGAGGTCTTCCGCAGTTCATTGGGTTCCCTCCCCCCTGGCGCCAAAGAAAGCACCGGACGGAAGAAGGCGCGGTGTCCGTTCCGCCGGTGTTGCGGAGAGGCTGAGAGGTGAGCCGAGGGCCGTGACCATCACGGCGCTGTGACCAGGGAGCCGTCACGGTGGCCGTCACGGCCCACATGCCAAGGATGTTTTTTTTCCTGGAAAGAGCCTCTTTAAAGACACATGTTCCATCAGTTTCTTTGAAGAGGCATTTTTTGTCAAGATAGGTAAGACGATTTCTTCGGCTGTCGAGGCGTGGTAGTGGGAAAAGACATCGATCTTTTTCACTACGTTCCTCCTGCCTTTTTTTTCCCAAGACCTGAAGAAAAAAAATTGTCTCTTTTGCGATGGCATGTGGTCTCAGATCCCAGACCTGAGCCATCTTACTGGCAGCTTACTGGCGATGTCCAACTCTTTCACCCTGATCATGTTTTAGTACGTTTTAGTAGGTATTCTGTTACTCGATGTTACTAGTAGTTAAAGGCAGTTATTAGTAGTGACCTTCCCAGGAGTCACACTGCACACATCAACATGATGCGAAAAGCAGGATAGCCACTAGCCAGAACCTTGCTCTTAGTCAGGTGGAGAAAGAGGATCACTCGAACAAAAAGAGAAAGCCTCTATATTATTACATCGTACGTCATGTTTACTCGGATGTTCATGCTTTTGTCATCAAACCATGATGAAGTCTACTATTTATATGACATATGTTGTTTGCATGTTTATTGCCTCTTTTGATACAAATACAAACAAACACGTCAACAACAGACCTCGGTCCTCCCCCCCCAAAACACCCTCTCCCCAGCCGTCTCCGAGGGCCCCACCGGTCCGAAAGCCGTGAGGTGATGCTGATCACCCGAGGAACCCGTGGAGATGTCCAGCCCTTCGTGGCCTTGGCACGAGGCGATCGAGCACGGGGGCGATCGAGCACGGGTCGAGTACGGGACGAGTGGGAAAATCGAGGGGAGCAGGCCTGGTGGAAATGGGAAAGGATTGGAAGATATTGGGAGGTGACACAGCAGTCTCCCAGTTTGTATCGATTGAATAAGATTCACTGTTCTGCTTGTATGTCATAGTTGTTACCTAGTATAAATACGATTAAATACTGCTAATGATAATAATCCAATATAACTGACAGGGTTTGTCACTCTGAGACACATCCAATTCATCACGCTGCTTCAACAATTCAGCCCAACCAAACATATTTGTTCGATGGCAGGATTTGGAATTAACTTCCAATGAAATATGAAGACTAACACAGTAAGGCAACTGGCAGGCAGAGAAACTCAGCCAAAGCCGTGTACATATTTGAGCAGAGAAGTGTGATGTTGCGTTCAAAGCTGCAGTCATGAAGTTGTTGTCATTGAACAAAAGGGATTCCAGCTGAGAACTGACTTGAATGCCCCAAAAAAACCATAGAATTGAACAGTTTCCTGATTTGGGTTCAAGGGAATCCCAGTGCTTTCGATTAAGTTCTGACGTTTCGGTGACTCTTCCTTTTCAAAGGATCCAAAGGGTCCAACTCGAACTACATTCCCGGGATGGTGCTTGGCTGCTTGACCCTGGGTTTGATAAGGATTGACTGGCATGCCGAAGGGTCTGTATGCTGGATGAGAAATCGACACCAATCGATGGAGGGGTGGGGCATGGTGGGGGTCATGTGGGGCAGGCCCTTTCTACTTTCTTGGACAGATTGTTTATGTAGAGGTGAATTCACAGGACCTTTGGGTGGACTCACATGACCTGATCTTATCCTACCAAAGCCAGCTGTGCAAGGTCTGATCCTATACCATGACTGCGACGTGATCTTTGTGACTGAGATCTCCTGGCGGAATTTCGCCATGGATGCACTCAAGGAGGGACACCGTGAGGAATTGGGTAGGTCAACAGCACATGTGGAGCGAGGAGCATTTGCAAATAGCCATCCAAAACCAATCTGTCATGGTCAGATTAAGTCATGAGCAGTGCGAGGAGAGTTGTGTTTCAGTGCTGATTTCAGCTGGGGCCTTTGTTCTTTGTTGAGCTGGTAAGTTACTTTTTTTGAGAAGATTTTCTCGATGTGTTCTCCCGAATTCTTGGGCCTTGGGCCCAGTTGTTTTGTCCGTTGGCAGAGGTATATGTTCTTTTTGTTCAATGTTTTGGCACTCTAAAAGAACACTCCACAACTGGAAATTGCTCCAATGCAGAAGTTAAAACACATTGGGGGGCTTGGAAGTGATCTCAAATCCGGTTTAGTCATGTCACAATAATAGTAGTAGTACAGTAATAATAGTAGTAAGGTAGAATAATATACATAATAACCTATTATATGCGTGTGCGCATGGCCATACAGAAACACATCTGGGAAAGTCAGGGTTTTGAATTGAACATTGATTCCGTCCGACAGGGGGCAGAACAAGAAAGATACGATACAACAGCCAGGTCCTTTTGCACAGCATTTTCAAATCTAAAGATCGAGGTCCCTCCAACGGTCAGGTGACAAAACCACGTGCCAGAACATTTTCAACCTAGACATTAAACTTATCCCGGAAACCCCATTTAGCTGAATTGTTTGAATGGTCCTTTGAGGTTCAATGCTCAGAGGTTGATGAAAGGTGATACTTTGAGGTTCAATGCTCTGACCAATCTCCTTCTAAACACACAGTTCCATTTCCTCGTTGGCAGTCGGGAGAGGCTTCAGCCAGAAACTACAGAAACTGAAACAAACACGAGGTGAGTTCCCTTTGTTTCGATGCCATCCTGAGACCCCCCCACATGTTGCGCCCCCACCCTGCGCCCTCCCTTCTTTTTTCAGGATCTGCCGGAGGACCGGGTCCGGTTTCGGCCCTGTGGCGGCGACACGGCCCAGCGCGTGAACACGGACCTCTCGCGGAACTTCCTGAGTCGCTCGGCGCGACGCGGTGCCGCGGACCGCGTGGCGTCGCTTCGCCCCGGAGGAGCGTTTTTTGGTGAAGAAGCGAGCGGACATTGCAGAAGTTTCCGTTGATGTGTGTGTGTGTTTCTCTTCTTTTTTTGTGTGTGTTACTGTATCTGTTATCGCAGCCTAATCCCAGCAGTTTGTTTTGGAAGAAAGGGTTCCTGGAAGAATAGACTTCCGAGGTTCCATACTGGGGGTTTGCTACTAGATATCGCACAGAACGCTTAGTCAATTATCTGCCAAGCTTTGCAACTTGGGGGAAGACGGAGAGCCGTCCAGAACCAACATCTAATGCAGTGGTTGTCTTTATCACTATCCTTGGAAGACATGCCCTGCCAAAGCAAAACCAGCGAAGCATACATCTCCATCGCACCCGCACAAGTGTAGCAACTCAGTTCCTCAAAACCTGAACAATGAGTTCTTCATCCATGAACTTTCTCTTGCGTCTCTTGGAGTTGAACAATGAGTTGAACCCTGAACAATGTATATGATGCGTGGATGGTCTCCGAGGCTTTGGCCAGAACTCCGTGGCCATCCAAGCGCTGGTCTTCTCCCGGTCGGAGGTGAGGGAAGATGGGATGATGAGAACTTGCAAACATTTTTTTTTGGGGAGCCTGAAGGACCCGCTCAACAGTCTGAAGTCATAAAAACCGTGTTTATATTATATACTATTATTCCAGTGAGCAAACAGCGAGAAAGCGCACATGAGCGAAAAAA